ACTCGTCCATTCAAGACTTATTCAGCGTGGGCCAGCGCGTCAATGCTAGTGCAAGGGAATGGTTGCTTAGTTATAAACCCAACTTCTGTCCCGAGGATGATAATTTTTTGTTTTGTTTTTAAATATGAAAACAAAAAAATCAGTGGCCTTTAGCTTTTTATTTTAACATAAAATGGATCATGGGTGACAAGTTCCTTTAGTAGTTGCCATTATTTGTAGTTAAATTTATGGATTCAGATCCAGCTAGATTTTTTTTATGTAATCAAGGTATCAAAATGAAATATAAAGTTGTATTTTGTATATTTTATACATAGTTGGTTATGAAATGGGGAAAGAAAGGGAAATTTACAATCCTTACTAGTTCTGTCTAAGATCACTGTTGGGAATTTGGATTATTCAGTCATAAGCTGCACAGTTGGATCACATGCTTTAGTAAGCATGGGTACAGCAGCGTTCCTTCCCTTTGATACGATTTTAGAGCTCACAAAAGCATCTTCCAGTTTTTCCTTTTAAACATACAAATGCATAAGGATTCGGCAATCTCCTGTTCACGGTGAGCATGTGACACTAGATAGGATTCTTTTAATGCCATGACTTCAACTTGAGATGATTAGAGACATTCCCTTATGGACATTACATTTGGAAAAATCAGTCCTAGTTTTCACCTTTGTTGGTTATTTAAACATGACTAGAGTATTCAGAATCCTCCGGTTTCTGTCCAAGTCTTAGAAGTAAGGTTTGGACAAGTGAGCAACTGCTCTGTTCTCCACTAATAGAAACAGTTGAGGTCCCAGTGTGCACAGCTGTTCTAACAGAGCGCTAGCTTTATAAAATAATTAATTCCATTAGGTACAGTATCCAAAACAGAACACATCTACTTTCTGAGCCCAGTGCAGGCAGATGGCATCCATGCCTGTAATTTAGCTCATCTGAAAAAGAATGAGATCTTTTAAAACTGCTTTCTATTGATGGCAGCTAGGTGTAAGGATAATACAAAACCTTAGCAATAGCAGAAGTATTTTTCTTAATCTATTATTTTAACTGGTAAGTGGAAGCACATCTCAACTTTTGACTCTTCTTTCTTCACTGTCTTATGTGAGCCCAGCCCCTGCAGCCATGCCCCCCTTTCCCTGGCCTTATCTCATGGTACTGGCTTCCCTGGGCTCCAGGGCACAAACCAGGGGTCTAGAGATGTGGTACAGAAGTAAGCTCCTCTGCCTGCATAGACTCGGGCTCTCCCACCCAGCAGAATAGTGTCTTGTGGCCTTTGTGTTGTCTGGAGACCTTTACTTCATATAAAGGTTAAACCATCTCAGGACTGTTGACTCTCCTTCCGTAAGCACAGGGCTTTGTCTTGCTGATGTGTTTATCCATGTCTAAGTTTGAGCTTAAGGAAGCCAGCCCTTATGCTACCTGATGCTCAGGACGTGAATGTCAAGGAAGAAGTTTCTTCTTGCCAGCTCCTCTTCCCTTTAATTTATCTTTTTATCTAAACACTGTTCTTTACTTAATTGCTATATAAATAGGTAGCATTTTAATTATGCTGGATTATAATAATAGCCTTCCAAAGTTCTAAATCTCAAGTAATTTATAAGAGATTTGGACTATTGCCCTTCCAAGACCAACAATTCGTGGAAGCCAAGATAGAAAAACTATCATGAGGCCTACTCAGCCTCACTAAACCAACAAGCAGTGTTGTAGTCAGTGCTAACATTTATGACCTTACTGGGTCCAAGACTCACTCTGCATTCACCCACTGAATTATTATAATTTTCCCACAAAAAAGGTATAACTAGTGCCCATACTTTCAAGCGAGAAGATAAATCCCACACATACTGATCACATGCACATTTCTAGAACCTCTTTAAAACCTGGGCTCTAAAGAAGCAAACATGGTTCTTGTTGGAGCATACAGTGGCAGCTGGGTCTCACAGCAAGCCAGGGCCACGCTGGGCCTTGGTGTTTAATAAAGGCTCTTCATTTGAGCTGGACATTGAAGGAAATTGAAGTCAGGCATTCCAGGGAGATAAATTATGTATTTGAAACAAGGAATTTAGGAGAAAGCTTTGTAAAACATCAGTTGGAACATTTATCTTGAGCAGGGAGGCCCCTGATTGGCATCTAGATTGGGATCTAGACAAATAATGCTATGGATAGTGGCAAAGACAGGACATGAATGCGCTTTCCCCACAGACACCATGATGGTGGGAACTGTTCCTAGAGAGAGGCTATAGCTTTACCTGTTCCTGATGGCCTGTGTATCTCCTTTAACTCTCAGAATCGGTCAGCCATGTACTTTGTAGGTACAAGAGATGCCAGTAGCTCTGAGAAGGGTTTGCGTGGAAGGAGGAAACCAGAGGAGTTTTTAAACAAAACGTGTGACTTTGACATGGTGAATATCTTTCCTTCACTGTGAGAGAAAGTGGGAAACTGAGGGTGGAGTTGAGGTCCGGCAGCCAAAAGCACACTGGCTGTGGCAAGTGGCAGAAGCAGGCAGAGCCTGGTCTGTTTTGAGAGAGTGCTGGTGCCACACTGACTGTTCAGTCAAGGAAAGGTTTCTGTAAAGAATGAAGAAACCAAGTTGAAACCTGGTTGTTACCCTAAAGTAAACTGTAGTGTAGCCTAGATGGACAGTTACAGAAGACTTGAAGAACCATTTTTAAAAGTAACGGGTTCAGTTGAAGGAGTGTGGTTGAAAATTGCTTCACTTCTTTGCCATTATTGCTATCAAGGTAAAATTTGAACAGAGTGAAATATTCTCAGCTCAGATACCGTTTGATTCTGATACACAACCAACGTTGTGCGGTCACACCTCCGTCTAGAATACTTTTGCTGTTCCCCAGATTTCCTCATGTGCTTTCTAGGTACTTCCTACCATGTAGGAACCACTATTCCGACTGCTGTCACCACACACAAGTCCTGCCTGCGTCATCTATTCTGTCAAGCCCTCATCCAGTCTGTTTACTGGAAGGGGAGAGAAGACTAGGGATGGATATTGTTTGAGTATATTACATACCTGTATGAAACTGTCATAACAAATCCATTGTTTTCTTTTTTAAAAATATTTATTTATTTATTATGTATGCAATATTCTGTCTGTGTGTATGACTGCAGGCCAGAAGAGGGCACCAGACCCCATTACAGATGGTTGTGAGCCACAATGTGGTTGCTGGGAATTGAACTCAGGACCTTTGGAAGAGCAGACAATGCTCTTAACCTCTGAGCCATCTCTCCAGCCCCCCATTGTTTTCTATGACTAATAAAAAACACTTTTAGGTTTATTCACTGAAGATAATAACAACATTCAGAAATAGTACCATCAGTGCTGTACTGTTACATGGAGAGCGGGCCCTTGTTCTGTTTTGGCCGCCTGGCTAGCTTACACCCGAAATAACCACACAGAAACTGTATTTATTAAATTATTGCTTGGCCCATTAGCTCTAACTTCTTATTGGCTAACTCTCACATTATGATTTAACCCATTTCTATTAATCTGTGTATCGCCACATGCTGGCAAGATTCTAACTGGCGTCCGTCTCAGGTGGGAGGATCCATGGTTTCTGCCACTCTGCCCTTCCTCCCAGCATTCAATTCTGTCTTCTCTGCCTACCTAAGTTCTGCCCTATCAGGTCCAAAGCAGTTTCTTTATTCATTAACCAATGAAAGCAACTCCTCCTACACCACTGTACCTCTTGGCAGAACCTCCTACACCACTGTACCTCTTGGGCAGAACACTAAGCTTCCCTGGACCTGTGTGTACAGGGCTCAGTTGAGTGGTAGCCAGTGTCCTCTGCAGATCATACAACACACCAGCTCTCTAATCTCCAAGGCCCCACCATTAGTTCAGTGCTAAGCCAAAGAACACTCCCTCCTGTATACCCCTCCTCCTCCAGCTGGCCACCGTGTCACATCAATTCTTGTTACCATTGTAGACGGCTCCTTCCTGGCCTGTTGTAACAGCCACTGTTTTGTCCTTGGTCTCCACACTGCTTGTGCTCCACTACCCCCAAGTTGCTCCTCTGCCACATAGAGTATACAGGAAGGCCTATACCATGGGCCCCAGTCTGCTTTTAATGCCCTGTTCCCATGGTGTTCAACCTGCCCCATCTACAGAACCTGTTCCTTCCCCCACCTCATCTGCCATGTTCCCATGGGGCTGTTTGGGATGATGCATGGCATCTTGTGCATGCTTACATTCCTGATTATGTTAGCAACAATGTGAAGGACACCAGGGACCGTGTTTACCATGTCTTTGTTGTCAGCATCTGGTGTGTGACTTCGAAAACAACTCCATTAAATACTTGTGCAGAGCCAGGCAGTGGTGGCACATTCCTTTAATCCCAGCACTCAGAGGACCTTGTGTGTTTGAGACCAGCCTAGTCTACAGAGTGAGTTCCCGGGCAGGTACCATAGCTACACGGAGAACCCCTATCTTTTAAAAAAAAAAAATTGCCTATGCAGAATGGTGTTTAAGGTCAGGATCAAAGTTGTTATGCTTGTTTGTTTGTCTTTTTAATTGTACAGAAGTGTTCAAGTGACTGACAGTTTCTTCAGGTTTGTTTCTGAGGTTCCTTTGCAATGATTATCATGGTCATTTAAGGTAAAGGTGCACACATTGCTATCGCCTTTGATGAGCTGAGTATGTTAATTGTGTCAGTGTAACATCCTGTGGCCGAAAGGCTAGCCTAAATCCTTTTCTCTTCCCTCAGCTCCAGCTCACTTTGTCTATCTGCAGTTCTAGAATGCAGATTACCATTTCTGGGAATGAAGATAATTTCTTTTTAAAGGTCTTTGTGGTAATTAGCAAACAGGAAAAAAAGCTAAAACTGGCTGGTAAATATTGACCTAAGTACCCAGAAACACTGGTATTTTTAGCTCTTGTTTGTTCATGGTGGTTCACTCTGTCCTGATTTTTCGTGCTCATGGCTCTGCCTGGCAGAGCAAATCAGCATTATCATCCCATTGACTGTTGCTAAAGTTTTCATCTTTCCAAATCCTAGGTAACAACCTTGATGCTGTCCATGACATCACCGTGGCATATCCTTACAACATTCCTCAAACTGAGAAACACCTCCTCCTTGGAGACTTTCCTAAGGAGATCCACTTCCATGTCCGTAGGTATCCAGTCAGCACCCTTCCCACTTCCAAGGAGGAGCTGCAGCTCTGGTGCCACAAGCGGTGGGAAGAGAAGGAAGAGAGACTGCGCTCCTTCTACCAAGGGGAAAAAAGCTTTCATTTTACTGGACAGAGCACAGTGCCACCTTGCAAGTCTGAGCTCAGAGTCCTAGTGGTCAAGCTGCTGTCCATACTGTATTGGACTTTGTTCTGCTCTGCAGTGTGTCTGCTCATATATTGGTACAGCCTAGTTTGGTGGTATTTCCTAATCAGCATTGTGCTTTTCGTGCTGCAGGAGAGAATATTTGGTGGACTGGAAATCATTGAACTTGCATGTTACCGTTTTTTCCACAAGCATCCACATTTAAATTCAAAGAAAAACAAGTAAGACGGTTGCATTCACCACATAAAACTCTAGGAGCGTTGTGGAAATGTTACAGCCTTTGTAAACCGAGATAAGTTTTTGCATGACTATGTCAAGTGTTTCTTACTATCATCATTTATTGTTAAAGATATTTTGCACGTAATTTTATGGGGGAAATATTGCTACAGTTTCTTTAACTCTCTGAATGTAATTCCAATGCTGCATATGTAGCAGGGGTCAATCGCTATGAATAACTGGGGCCAGAATACTAGAAACAGTCAGGAGGCCGTTGAGACAAGATGCAAGCTTTTCTGAAAGGGTCAGCCCACTTCTGACAGGCTGCCAGCCCAGAGGCAGGCCTGACACCATGAACATGTCCCAGCACTGTAGGCAGATGGTATTCTGGCTCCCCTGGGAGGCACTGTCCATCTATCCTTTCATCCTTTTACAGCCATCAAACCCCAAACTGCAGTTGTCTTGTCCTAAACTGACCACCATTTCATAGGGAGCCCTTCATTGCTCACTCACAAAGCCTTGAGCTGAAGCCAGCAGCAGGAAGCCCCTTTCTCACCTGGAAGTCACACCTCACTCTGCTCAGGGAGCACCTGCAGGCTCTCCAGTTGGGTTCTAAGCTTGCTCTTCACTCGGTCCTCATTGCCTCCTGCTCCTTAGCAGGTGTAGCTTCTTCATCAGTGTGAACTGACACATGTAAAGGTGTACTAGAACATTCTTGTATTTCAGACAGAAACGGTCTTATGAAATACTACACACAGTGGAAGTCAGGTGTGTGTCCTGCTCATGTAGGGTGTCTACCTTTTGCCATCAGAGCTACAACAAAAATAGCCACCGACAGGATGTTATAGCCAAAGCCCCCAAGCCTTGATCAGCTTCACTCTTAAAACTAAAAATGCTAACCCAGAATGAACCCTTTCATTGAGATCAAGGACTCCCTTGCTAACTCTCCCTCAACAGTAACTTTTAAACCCACACAGACCAGCTGTTTACCAAATAGCCCTATCATCTGGAAGCCATGAAAACCCAGCAGACCAATAAATAGCACCATTGTCCTGGGTAAGAGAGCATGTGGCCATTGTTCCCACTGAGCTACATGGGCCTGTCTTTGTCATTGACTGGGGCAGGGGCACAGGCACCTAAAACTGTCCAGCTGTTAGCAAACCTGTCAATCCCCCCCCCCAGCCCCCGCTGGGCACTCTCAGGAGCTGTCACTGCCCTGTGTATTCAGACCAGAATTCACCTTCCTGCTCAGCTTAGCAGCACATTTTCTAAGAAAGCCCTGTGGGGACAGTTAGTGGATCATGATTAGTTTGTTTCTTTGGAGCTTGTGTTTGTGAGGGGTGCCGCTACGGAAGCACACCAGTCTGTATTTAACTGCTCTATCAAAGCTCAGTTCAGTTCTGCCAGGAGCTTACTAATTAGCTTCTGTGCACATCTGCTCTCAACACAGCTGTTTGACTTTAGAGTTTTTAAGGTTAAAAACACAAAAAAAGAGCAACCTTTTCCCCCCTTTTCCTTAATAGGAAAGACTGCAATTTTAAGTTTTTCTGCAACTTCCTTGGATCACATTTAAACATGGAAATAGCTAGCAATCAAAATTACATTTGTTTCCCAGGTAAAAGAAAAAGCTGCTGTCTCTACACACAGTGCCTGGGATTACCCAGTAGTGATGCCCATTTCCTTGTGTATCCTCAAACCCTTTGCCTCTTATTCTCCCATCAACAGGAAGATCTTCCTCCTCTTTTGATCACAGAAAAACATGCTTAAGGTAGGAAACCCTTAATTTTATTATCTACCCCAAATTCATAATTCTAAGTATAGCACTAACACTAGAGAAATTGCTTTAAGAGAAATTTCTCCAAAAGGAAAAAGAAAACCCCCTTTTAAATAAAATTTAAATATTTAAATAAAAAATAATTATTTGTTTTTACCTACATATTTAGCTTTGTTAAAATTTTTATTAACTATATATATAAAATATATATATTACATATATAATGATTTTGAGCATGGAACTGCTTTAAATCAATCCTTGATGGTAGTTGGCCTTAGAAATGCCCTTATTACACCTCACCCTTCAGCCAGAGCTCCTAGCAGCCGGCATCCCTGCTACAGCAGAACCTAGCCCCTGCTCCATGTGACAGTAAGACCAAGGGACTGAAATGCTCACAGCACTAGCTGGCTAGCTGACCCCATCCTGGAGATTTTAAGTATAGTAGTTGTGGGTTATTTATAATGTAAACCATTTCACTTTACAATATGAACCAGTAAGGAGGGGAACTGGCGAGGTGACAGGTTCCCACAGTAGGTATCTTTGCAATAAGTTCAAGGAATCCTGAACTTAAGTCAGGCTACATGAAGAAAGGCTGAAGATGAAATGCATAAGTATCTGAAAGAACTCATCTCTTAAGACTAAAACCCTGCCCTTGTGTGCTCTCAACATAGACGAGAAAGAAATAGCATCTTCCACTCATGCACTCTAATGGTGGGCACTCCACATGCAGACCACATATTGGTAGCCAAGCCTGAGTTCTGCAGACAGACAGATTTCCATTTCACCCGCTCTCAAGCTCTGGCCCAATGGAGAGGCTCCGGTACAGTCACAAAGACTTAGCAGAAGGAGCCTGTTGGTGGTAAATTGTTTACATTTCTTTATATAAAATAATGTGCTTTCAGTGCCTTAGTTACGGGTCCCCTTCTTTTCCCTGTTCCGAGAGTTCTATAACGTGTCCTTAACGTCTCTCCTTGTCACTCATTAGGAGGAGAAAAAGGTGTCTCAATACTTGTCATTGGTTGACAGAAACAAAACACTATGTTGTAACTTTGAGAAAAGAGCTGGACGCTGAGCTAGTGGCTAGTGTTCTAACTTAACTATAGAAGATGAAAATGGCTCGGCCATACAATGAACTTCAGACTAAATATGACTCTACAGGTGTCTTGAACTTTATATTTTTATTTCAGAGTCTTGGTTTTGGTAACTCGTTTTTAAAAGATCATTATGTGGAGAACACCAAGTTTTAAAAATAACTCACAGAATGGCCTTAGCTTTCCGTGTCCACTGGAATGTTGTGAGTTGTTATTTGTAATATGCATCCAGAATAAAGTGGAGTGAATCACATTGTTCAAAAGCTGCTGTGGTTCTATCTTTACAGGAATGACAGAATTTAAAGGCCATCATGCTGTTGTCCCCCATATTCTCATGGTCTTAGCCTGTGTCACTGATGAGTAGGCCTCCCATGGGTGTTAAAACGTGGTCTAATTTAGAACAGAATGCACTATTCCCTAATTGAGAGAGTCGGGGATACAGTTGAACTCCTGCCCCAGTGTCAACAGAACCTGTTTTCCTCGGGACAGCTATTCATTCTTCAAGTGTGGGACACAGACACTTAAAGGAAAAGAACACGAGGACTCTGTGTCCCTCCCGCACCTCACTCTCTGGGAGTAGAACTCCAAAAGCGAGTCTGAGACCGAAACGTGCCAGCTGTGCAAAGAACATCATTAGCTAAGAGCACATATCATCAGGGAAGCCTATTGTAAGCTCAAGAGCCCATTCTGTCCTTGGTTCTTCAGTGAGCACTTTGTGTGCAAGCCCTGCTGTTCCCTGGGAAAGGGCACATGGGCCGAAAGAGTGTTGACCTGGCCCTAAAAGCGCTGGTCCCAAGGAGTGGACTGGAGAACATGGGCTGCAGCCCCCACTCATAGTCAGCCTCACCCCTTTTACAGAAAATGGATTTCTGATGTGGGGACCTCAGGTGCCAACCATGGGCACAGAAACTGCCTCTACAGCGCATTCTAAATACCAAATACAAAGTTACTAGAGAGACCATTTGTGTTTTCCTGCCCGGTGGACTGCACACAGGATCCACATGGCAACCTGACACGTGCATCCTCTGGGCTTAAGTCTAGTAAGAAAGAGACAGGCTGCCTTCTCATGGGCCGACCATTTGTGATGGGTGGCCAAGTGACCACAAATGTCCACCTTGCCTTCTCAAGTCTGCCAGAGCAGGTGGGCATGCAGAACTCTCAGGCCCAGCAGAGGGCACAGTGTTTTGTATCAGCCGTGGATGTATGGGAAGCCAAAGAGTCCATAGAGCTGTATGTGGAGAGTCTCGTGTGGTGGCTCATGCTTGTAATCCCAGCACTTTGGAAACAGAGGCAGGAGGTCCACAAGGTTAAGACTAGTCTGAGCTACATGAGTTCAGGTCAGCTTGTGCTATATAGTAAGACACTGTCTCAAAAAGGGATGGGGTCAGGCCTGGGATCTCAGGAGAGATAAGATGGCTCAGCCAGTGAAGTACTTGGTTTGCAAGCACAAGTATCTGAATTCAATCCCCAGAACCCACATTAAAAAAAAAAAAAAAAAAAGCCAGGTCTGGGGCACCTCCTTGTAATCCTAGCACTGTGGAGGCTGAGACTAGGGGTCCTGCGGTTTGCTAGCCAGACAGCCTGCTGAGTGAACTCTTGGCCAATGAAAGGCCCAATCCATCTCAAGAACAGGTGGATGGCACCTGAGGAGCTACACATTTGTCTTTTGGCTCCCACACATGTACTTGCACACACACACTCACACTCACACACGCACTCAAATAATTCAGCCATTGCCTCCCTGAGGATCGTCCAGATTCAAGCATCGCCTTGCTGAGCAATTTCCTTCCTCCAGTGGGAAGTTTGCTGAGATGGAAGTACTGCAAGGCCAATGACTTCCATGCTGCCTGCTGTGTTTCTCTTTCTCCCACTACTGCAGACTCATAATCCTGCAGAATCGCTCATTCCTTCCTCTCCTGCCTGGCCATGTAAGCTTTCAACATACCTGTCTTCCAGAGTAGCCTTTCCTATGTTTATCACGCCACACCTGTATCACACATTACCCGAGCAAGCCTGGCTAGGTTCTTCCCACCCACATCGGTCTCAGCTCACACAACCTCATCACAACCCCATGCTAATCACAGAAGTCCCCTTCTCAGTCCCCAGGTCTTCCTAATGGCTATTGCACAAGGCCACGCCCCTCCCTAGCCCAACAGACACATCCTCATTCTCAGAGGGCTTGTTCTGCCCCATGGAGCCTTTGCGTCAGCATGGGTACTCAAAGCCTTACTGAGTTCCCAGACCTCGTCACATCTGCTTGCCTTTTCCAGAACCTAGGAAATTGCTTCCCTAACCCTTAAATTGAGCAAATCTCAACTTATTTCTAGAAATCTTCCCAGTCAATCTGGCTGGGAATGCTCTCCCGCCTTTTCCTGGGCTGTCGTTCCCTGCAGCCCTGTCCTCGCTGAATCACGCACTATCTTAGGTCACGACAGTCACTTTTCAGTCTTACCCACTCCACTGCATGGCACGCTTCTGGAGAGCCGAGATACGGGTGCCTCAGCTTTCTCCTGCTGCCAGCCGTTGAGCAGCCATGCTCATTCGCACAGTACATTCTTCAGGATAATGGTTTTGGAAGCCGTGCACAGACCCTCTGGATCAAACAGGCTGAGTACAGGGGTTTAGGGGTCCAAAATGAAAACAACAATTGAGGCTTAGAAGAGCATTGGTTTCTGCCAATATTTTAGTTAGAAAACCAGGCGTCGTGGTGCATGCCTTTAATCCCAGAACTTGGGAGGCAGAGTTAATTCGAAGCCACCCTGGTCTACATAGTGATTTCCAGGACAACCAGAGCTACATAATGACACCCTTTTTCAAAAAACTAAATAATATGTTTTTTTCTAACATATATACACACACACACACACACACATATATATATATATATGCAGGCTAATATATTCTAACAAATATACATATATTCTAACAAATATATATACAGATATAGTCTAACAAATATATACATATACACACGTTTTATATGTGTGTGTGTTAGAAAATCATTTTTGATTGACAGTCTTGTTACCAAAATATACTAGGATGTGAATTACTAAAAGTAGAAAAGCCGGCTCAAAATCCATGCCTGTGAGAAATAATTCTAATTTATCTCACTATCTTCCACTTGCACCCCTGAAGGAAAATTCACCATCTAATTAGCATCTGCACTGACTCCAGTCCCACAGCTTTCCTTCTAGAAACCTATGACTCAAACACACCACCCCAAACATCACGAGATGCCACACACTGTTCTTTACTGTGGCTCCGAGACTGTAAAACGTAAATGTCTGGGGCATGGATGAAATTATCCCAGGTTCCTGTAATCACATGACCGAGTTCTGTGCAGGGTAGCACTTTCAGTGACACAGCTGTGCCACCCTTTGTTGAAGAGGGCCATCCAGACATGGTCAAAGTCTGAGCTGGGTGGTACCTGCCTGCATCCTCAGTCCCCCAGAGCCAGAGGCAAGAAGATCAAGAGTTCCAAGTCAGGCTTGACTACATAAGAGACCTTGTTTTAAAAAAAAAAAAAAAAAAAAAAAAAAAAAAAAAAAANNTTTAAAAAAAAAAAAAAAAAAAAAAAAAAAAAAAAAAAACCATCCCAAAACAAAAGATGAAGCTGGGAAGGTGGCTCAAAAGAAAAGCACTTGCCCTACAAGCCTGGCTTTCTGAGTTCACTTCCCAGGAACAAGGTAGAAGGTGAGAGTTGGCTCCTGGAAGTTGTCCTTGACCTACACAGGCACACGCAGACACCGACACCGTGGCTTGCACATGTGTGCAAGTACACACATGATATTTCTTAATTTAAAAAAGTGATATACCATATGCTTAGATGAGAAATTAGAAATAATATGAATCAAGGTAAATTGGCTACTGTCTAGACCTGCTTACTGTTACTTACTGTTATATCAAACACCACAAACTGTGGAGATGGTATTTCTCTTAGGTCCCAAGTCCTAAGTTGAGGCACCTGCAAAGGCAGAGTCTAGTGAGGAGGGGCTGGGTTCCATAGATGTCTACTGCTGCGCGTGCACGTCTTCATGTCTTCACGTGTCCCCTTCAGAAGGGACCTCTTTTGTATGATGGTAGTTAACACTAATCCTGCTCATTGGTCCATTTGGGCAACCTCACAACATCTAGAAGGTCCCACCTTCTGACACCATCACCCTGGGGAGGTGCACATGAACGTTCAGACCACAGTTCCTATGCCTATTGACGGGTAGAAAGCCCCAACAGTCAACAGTAATATGATAAAAACAAAACTACCAGAAGGGAAAAAAAAAAAGCAAAACACTGAAATTCTTTATCCTTATATTATTAATAATGATATATAGGCTTATTCTCTGAAAGTATCACATTTGTTATAGTTTTGATGTTACCAGGAACCAAGATAAAACAATTAGGTAAAAACCCCTGTAATCCTAAGTGTTTCTTTAAAAACAAAAACAACAACAGAATACTCAACCAAGCCAACAGAAACAACGAAACAAACCACGCCTGAGATCTAAGGCTCTCCTTTGGGAAGGCTCAGAATAACCAACCAACCAGTAGCAATGGCAGCTAGCACCCTTGTGCCCAATTCTGAAATGCTATGTTTCCAGTAAAAGAAACCAGGGTTCCAGGACAAACGACTGCACCTAGATTCGATGCAGAGTGGTGGGGTTATTTTGAAATACTGAAAGCCAAGGAAGTTTTCAAAGCCCGCCGAGGCCAAGTCAAAAGAACTGTGGGATCACCAGCAAGAGGCTCCTGTAGCCCCAGGGAAGCAGCTGGAATGACGGTATGATAGCAGAGAGGTGGAAATGTGGGGAGCAGAGGAAAAACCAGGAAGGTGTGACACTCATGGATACATTGGGACAGTCTGGGTAACCAACTCATTCTGGTGAGAACTGCCATCTGGTGGCTGGTAAAATGGCAGATAGACCAGTCAGCATGCTGCTTTTCTTTTCTGTATGAACTGTGCCTCAAGCTGAGCAGTCAGGTCCGAAAATGAGCTTTCTGTACGGGTATTGCTCTGTAGAAATAAACCCACATTTCCGAGGTCAGAAGCAAGAAGAAAGCATAGTGAGGAAAAGATAGCATCTTCAACAATGATACTGGGAAAATGCACATCCCTACAAAAGACACAAAACACCAGACCCACACCTGACACTGGTTAAAGGCTTGTAAATAAAACCCCTGAAACTGTCCAAGTAGCAGCAAAGGTGCACGGCATCCATCGCGACAATGGTTTCTCCTTCATGACCTGCTCAGGCCACA